TCTGCGAACGGCAGCGATAAACCTTAAACTATCTGCTGTACCATAGACTGTACAGATAGTTTTAATGCTGCACGTACAGAATAATAAAAAGCAACAAAGAATACATGCGCAACTCGAACTCAAGTGGTGTACGCATTCTTTCAACACACTGTATGTATGCGCAATTAAAGACTGTATTTCTCCCCGGGGGAATTCAGTATTTATATCATGCATAAATCGAATAAAAAATGATGCAATCGCCAAAAACTACTAGGTGAAAAATAGCCACTTTGCGCTTTATAAAGTATGGAATCGAAACAAATACTAGGTATTAGTAATGTAGTGAGTCGGAAAAGAAAATATTGAAAAATAGAAACGCCGTGCGTACATATGGCATATGTAACCATTTACATATTATTCAGTAATTTCTCTGCTCGCGTCTCTCAAATTTCCGGAACTCATGAACGCTTTGTCATCTGGAAGTCAGCCGCTGTGCTACGTAATCTTAGCTGCGCATGCGCAGTGCTGATTGTTTGCACGTACAACGAAGGTGTGCCGCTCATCAACAAAGGTGTGACTGCTCACCAGGATGTTTGGATTCCATCGAAGTGGAAATCAATCCGGCCACCCCATAAATCAGTCGTGAATGACTTATCGACCAATCAAATGAGTCCGCTGACCACTCGATTTTGCGAGTTTTGAAACGTAACGAGTGTTCATCTACCTCCCAGTCACTAGTCTCAAAACTACACAAATTATCTGTAAACAGTACAAAATGATTTAAAACAAAGGTGTGCCGGTGTTTTTTTCCAAAAATCCACGGAGATATAAGCTAAATAACTGCTTCGAGGTTAAGATAAGTTAAGATATAGGTGAGGTATAGATGACGACTTTCCAGCACAATATTTTATCTTTAACAATGTTCTTTTCATCTGTGATGAAACATCTGAAAATGATGGATCCAGGGCCGTAGCTAGAAGCTTAATTGGGGGGGTGCATATTCATATATTCGTCTTATGCCCGAATGATTTCTTTTGTATGCTATTGTTCCTATGGTATATAAACATGAATATATGAATATACACCCCCCCAATTAAGCGGTCTAGCTACGGCCCTGGATGGATCAGAGTACACTTAAGAAAATAAATTGGCTGGAGACATGCAAATTCAATTATAATTTTTTTTATGCAAGACCTGGCTTCTGCTTTACCCTTATCGTTTGTATTTCCCTCTAATCAATCAATATCAGTGCTTAACCTCAGACTGTTTAGTCACAGTTGTGTAGTTAATCTAAACAAGTGCTATTGTTAGCCTTAAAAAGCACATTTTTGGAACCGATTTTAATGAAAATCGCGTTCAACGTAGTAGGCCAGCATCTTTGGTTTTATTTGTAGCCTACACACTGCTTCGTTATTTAATAGCGCCTCACTTTAAACACCACATTTGGTTACGTTGGAACTGAAATATAACACGTTGATCGCATGATCAAACACGTTAATCAAACAAACGATAGCTTGTTTATATATTATTAGCAAAGCGGATTTGTCAGACAGAAAACCGCGGCTGTGTTTTGAAGATATTGTAAATGGGTGTCGGCATTCATTTGTCCATTATAAATATAATCATCAAAGCAACTATTTTGATTCTTGAAACAACAATATATTGTAATTATTCGAATAATATTATATGGATGATTACACTTTTTACGGTGATGCTATATCGATATACAATACGACTAAAAATAGACAAAGAAATCAATTATTTTTTCACTCATTTACGACCGATTTATGAATAATTTAGATTTTGATAATCGGCTAAAATCGAATCTAATTCATTGGTTTTCTAAAGTCCCAATTTTATGCTAAGATATTACTAATTTGTTAAATGATAATAACTACTTTTGATTATACTATTTCATACTTTTGTATTCAATAAAAGTAATGTGGTAATGAAATATGAAAAAATGAAAATATCGTATAATGGAGGATAATGCAGAGCTCAGCAGTAGTGTTAGGAAGCTAAAGATCGTGGAGTATTGCAGCTGCTGTGGTAATGAAAGTGTTCCTGATATATTGATATATTCTTTCTTGGTTGTACTGTATCGCGACGTATTACCTTTAGTTTAACTGATCAACTTCTAACTTCGAATAACTTTATTACGAGTGCTTAAATTAGACATGACGAGTGCTTAATTTAGTGCTTAATTAGCATGATGAGGTCGTTTATCAAATGTATAGTGAGGTTTCAAAATAGTAAATTAATAAACTAATTGATTTATGTATAAGAACACTTCCATTACAACGGCTTGCGTATCATTAATATAGGCTATGCTAATTTCTATATGTCTACTTAGATTATGACCAACATTCCTTATAACCATCTTGTGGACTGTACGTATCCTTTTTGATAGTTTCCATCGCTTCAGGGTGTGAAGTTCATGAGAGAATTTTCCACGAGAAATACTGTTCGAATATAATCACGATGATCGAGTTGTAAATATACACGTTATAAACTCATATCCTTTTATTCAATTTATAGTATTGCCATTGCTCTTCTATAAGACGTACGTCATTTTCAATTTTAAAAGAGGCATGTTATAATCTTGGGCGAAAGAGATCAGTATACACTTTTACTGCAGTCACTGTAAACGACATGGTAAATATTGATCATTATACTGTTTGGCTTTCATCTTCCACCTTATCTTTCTGCATTTTACGTAATCACGCGTCTCTTTTCCTTTTTTTACGTACGTCTAGTTCTTGTTTTTAATTCATGTAACTTCGTCGTTCTTAATTTAGGTGTTTCCGTGTCCACATTATTTTGTATCCCGTTGAAACGTACACATCCGCAAAGTTTTCCACAGAAACTTGACAACTTTCCATTTCTTTGCAACTCGGAATTATGTTACTCGTGATTTCCTTCCGAAGTTCTTTTGACTGATTTTCTTAAAGTTTAAAATATCTTCAAAGCACACGGAATGTTTTCGCGTGGCTAGTTAGAAAACCACAGCTTACTAATTTGGGACGTGGTCTTCTGTACAAGGCACGAAGACTCGAATCATTATAATCATCATACTTCTTCTTTTTTATTCTTGTGATATGCCAATGAATCAGGATATTGTTTTTCCACCAGGTTATAGAATGTTTGTTAAAGGTCAATGTTTTTTTCACTTAAGATAACTAAGCACTGTGCTTTGTCACAATTTATATCGAGTAATAGCTACTTCTCACTAATATTAGACCCATGTTTTAGAATTACACCCCAGGACCTTCCCGAGGTATGCAGAAATTGAGCAATCGACACTGCTGAGAACAACGAAAAATTTGTTTACTCGAGAAGAGTATTAACTTCTGGGATTATAAAACGAGTAATCAAATTCTTCTTAATATGAAGAACTGAAGAGCTAGCGTTGTTCATGAGCATTTTTTCATTATCCTCCATTGAAAGTTATTTAATAGTACCTCATTCATTTTATGTCTTTCAATTGGTTCAGTGTTTGTGGTTGCGTGGCATTAGATAAAATTTTTCCATTTTAGCTGCTGACGGTGCAATGAATGTTTCCATTGCACCGTCAAGGCGTGCAAGTTTTGATTTGTCAATGCACAGCTAGTTGCTTTTTCACAAAATTCAATCACTCACAGCATTAATTGTATCGTACTTGCACACATTTGATAACACACGAATCCGAACATGGAGTTACTCATAAACACAAAATGTTTTTTCAATAACATTAAATCTTTTTGGTGTTTTTTTAGTTGGTGTGTGGTTGTATAAAACAAATAATTCTCCTCGATGAATGGAATAATCCATCTTTCACCTCGTGAAAATATTCTTTACCATTGCCCTCGTAAACATTCATTATTAGTTATACCATTGTATGGTATTGAGCAGAAACTGAGGGAAAAATTTCACGCACGAAAAAATTTCGTTTGTCTTTGAAATGTTGAAAAAGACATTAGGTCATTTTTGAAAAATGCATTGAATTGTAGTTAAACATGATCCAGATGGAGTAGCATGCAGCATGGCAGCCTCTTCGATTCTCCAATTCATGAATTGGTTTATCAGCTATGTGATGATGCAACAAGAAAACCTCTCCTCTTTACCGCAAGAGTAGTGTTTCGCGGGCGCAGTGCCTATGCACCTGCATTCAGGCAGGTTTACTAAACTAAATCTGAGTTGAAGGTTGAATTATATACTTACACCAGAAACCAGAAAGATCTTTGCCTTGTGATCCTAATCCAAAGAATTAATCGCTTGTTGTCTAACACACACCAAACTCTGGAAAAAAGCTGTTAATTGTGGTCAGAAGAAATTTCACATAAATTTAGTAGCTATTTCTGTTTGTACTACAAGGCATTTGGAGAGCCGTAGAAAGGTAGAAAATCTATAACCAAATTCAACGAAATTTTAATCAATTCTTTAATGGCCGATAGAGAAATTCACTCACAAAATTTGGTATAAATACACTTAGTATTTATTCATTTACACTTAAGTCACCTACACAAACATAAAACCCAGATGCTTACATATTCTCCGGTTGAGGTAATGACACTATGGTTGTGAACTATTTGGATACGTTAGCAATTCACATCTTGAATTTCATACAAACCTAAGCGCATGATTACATGATTGAGTAAAATATATAATTTTATATAAAATTTTGCAGCCGGTATACTCTCCCTTTCTGACTTTTTTTGTATAAGCGAGGACAAAAGAATCAAACAACATACAAATTATTATATTAAGCAGAACTTGTAAAATTAACCTTCCTAAACATGAACTACAGAATAGACAACCATCACCTATACTATGGTTTATCTTGCTTGTTAAGATTTTCAAACGAACCAGTAAGCTCATCAGATGGTAATACAACAAAACCAGAAGAAAAAGATTTCTCTCTTATCGTTTCAATGTCATGTTTTTGAAAGACCACATCTTCTCCGTAGATTGTAAACGGAGAACGACCTACAAAGGATCGGTACGCCTCATCATCGCGCTTTTCAAAGATTCTCTTTGTCTCTCTAGCGCCTCCCTGACTGATGATTCATGCAGTAAGTGTAAAATTCTTTTATAAACTCCGTTGTTGCGTCATCGTCACTGTGCCTTAGTGTGGAAAGAACAGAGCGAGCTCCGGCTGCAAGAAAAGACAGAGCTAAAGTTTCAACACCTTCTGGAGAGACTTCGTCTTGCTCAGAATCACATAGGCATAAAACAACCAACCCAGGGTTCAAAGAAAGACCCTTAACATCCTGTTGCGTTAAAAGATCCTGAGTGGAAGAACCTTCATTTGAGGAGACACATGGAGAAAGCATTATTGCACATTGCTTAGGTTCAATATGTGCAGAAATATGGATAATACTTGCCCCGCTCAAAAGTCCCAGCAAAACCTGTTTTTTGGCTTCGCCTTCCACGAGAGCCTTTGCTTTGAAAAGCTTTGAAAGAGAATTAACCTCCTCAGTGGCTTTAGGCAAGTCTGACGTTGGATTACCAACAAACAACGCAAAACCACATTCGGGTAGAGTTTCACTGGATTTCTCTCTGATCCTTTCAATGTCGCCTTTTTTAAACGTCACATCCTCTCCATAGAGAGTAAATGGAGCCCAAATAAAAAAGGATCGGTAATATTCTCTTTCGTGTTGCTGAAAGAGGTTCATTACCCTTCTTAAAGCTTCACAAACTGGTGTTTCCTGAAGCAGTTCGTTGTAAAATGCTTCCATAAACTCCTTTGTTGCGTCATCACAAATGGGCCAGAGCGTGGCGAGAACAGAGCGAGCTCCAGCAGCAAGAAAAGACCGAGCTATACCTATGACACCTTCTGAAGAAATCTTACCTTGCCCTGTGTGACAACAGCATAGGACAACCAAGCGAGCTCGCAATGAAATACTCGTAATATCTTTCTGTGTGAGGAGATAGGAATCTGGATCAGGAAGAGAAGAAGATGGTTCATTTAAGGAAAGGTCAGAAGCAAGCATTATTTCACCTCTCTTCGGTTCACCATGAGCAGCAATATGAATTATACTAGCACCACTTAAAAGTCCGAGAATAACCTGTTTTTTTGCTTCAGCTTTTACGAGAGGCCTTGCTGTGAAGAGCTTGGAAAGACTTGCAACTTCCTCAGTTGCTTTTGGTAGGTCAGCAGATGTGAAATCTGTGCAATGCAAAGAAGCATTCCTAACTTTGGGATTACCAACAAACAACGCAAAACCCGGGTCAGAGTCATGGGGTTGTTCTTTCGTAAACGTCAGAGTGTGTAATGAGGGCGTTACTTGAATACTGTAACTCTGAGATAAATACCTCCCATTTTCATCAATCAATGAAGAAAAGGGAATAAAGAACAATTGCATGTCAGGAACAATAATGAGCTTATTTCCTTTTACGGCATCTCTTATTGGTTGAATGAGAAGATCGAAAAGTTTTTTTAAAATAGCTTCACTGAAATGATCATCGCTCGGATTTTTTGCGTGCAAGGTTTTAAGCTTTTTTCCTTTACACGGCTTGGTTGGCGGTGAGATAATGTGACTATGAAAACTATGTTCATTCGCAAGTGAATCAAGTTTAAAAAATGAAGAATCTCGTTTGACATTGACACTAGTATATGTGGAAAACCCAGTCATCAGGGACTCCAATGTATTCAATGCTTCATTTGACATCAGGCACTTAAAGGTTACATCACTATTCAAAACCCAAACATTCAGAGAACTTTCACTTTCAAAAGAAAATAACACCACTGATGTTTTATCACTTTCTACCCGAAGAATCTTCTGTACTCGCTTTATTTCTAGATTCTCCTGCCCGTTTTGGATTTTATTCCATACAGATTGTGCGTAAGGGAGCAACTCTGTATCTAAACAATTTTGTTTTCTTTCAATAGAAAAATGGAGCTCTTTAGCTCTACCCAGGTCAGTCACTAATAGTCCGGATTCTTTGCGGTCCAGAGAAACAAAACAACTCGTTAAATCTCTATGGGCGCTAGAGTATATTCCTGTGAAGGAGAGTTTGTTTTCATCTGGAACCGTATTTTGGAACAGCTCCTCAAGTATTTTAATAGATTTTACTAAATATGATGATGCAACTTTATATTTTCCTAAACCCCGATGAACATTTGCAAGATCATGACAACTATATGATATCAGAAGCGACTCGCCAATATCAGTGCTTATTTCTAAACTTTTTTTACCATGTTCAATGGCTTTTTCATGATCACCTAACAGTCTATATAAAACACCGATGTGTCTATTCGCTTGTGCTATCGCTGATGGAGTTCCAGTCTGATTGGCTAATTCTAAACTCTTATTGTGACAAATGAAAGCCTCATCAAAATTTCCCAGTGAAATGTAACAAGATCCCAAGCTGTTATTGATCCTGACTACTGAACTTTGATCGCCTTCTGCTGTGTAAAATTCTAATGCTTTCTCATAATAATCAATTGCAGTTTCATACTTTTTTTCGAAAGAACTAAAAATATTACCTAAACTGAAGTTGATTTGTGCCATTACTGACTTATCATCAATGGTCGTGCCGATTTTAAAGCTGTCTTCCAAATAGCCCATGGCCTTTTCATGCTCTCCTAATCTTTGGTAAACACAATTCAAATGACAATTGGCTCTTTTTATACCATCTTGGTCACCGACCGCCTTTGCCATCTCTAAAGATTTTCCGTAACAGTCAATGGCCTTGCAATATTCATCTAAATTTAAGTGAACACGGCCCAAATTGATACTGATATCTTTAATTCCATTTTTATCATCAAGAGCGTTATATATGTTTAATGCTTGTTTAAAATAAACAAATGCCTTTTTATATTCACTGGAACCAAAATAGATTTGGCCTAAACGGCCATAAATACTACCTAAAGCGCTATTGCTTTCTGCCATTAATAATTGATTGCCTATAGTCGTGCTAATATCTAAGCTGTCTTTCAAAGAGCTGACGGCATTTTCATAGTCTTCTAATTTTTGGTAAACATCACCCATATAGAAATTGGTTTCTGCCAAACCTGTTTGGTCACCGACCGCCTTTGCTATCTCTAAAGATTTTCTGAAAGAATCAATGGCCTTGCTATAATCACCTAAATTCACGTGATCACGGCCCAAATCGATACTGCGAAGTACCTCTTCATTTCTTCCTGAAGCACGATCTGCCATTGTTGAGCGAGAGCCAGAAGCATTTAATTTTTTAGCATTTAATGCATCTGCGTGTTTTTTATATCTTCCCTAAGTCCTGAATATGAAATATTTCATAATACTGAATTGTCTTCTTATAATCACACGAAAGAAAATAGCTAACAGTTAGGTAGTGTTTTTTAGCACGCAATTATTTCGTGATTACAACTGGCGGTGACTTCTTCTGTAAACGGTTTTTATATTCAATACCTTAATTGTGGCTCGGATTCTTTTTCTTCATGCTCTATCTTTTTTCAGCATAAAGTTGCCTTCCTCAGTCTGAAATTATATAATTTTTATTAAGATGGACGTCTTTACATGTGAACATATGCCTACGACGATTGTCGCCAGCCGAAGAAAGGTAGTTAACTTTCAGCGGCAGTTAGTTAGTCAAGGAAGTTCCTTTAACCGTGCGAATAAACTACCTCAAACGAAGTTAGGAATTTTATTTAACCAGGCCCAAAGCATTTGGTCTCTTTTATACTGAGACTAGCCTTAGGTATAGCAGCCTCGCTATGATGGGCTCTCCGCAGTTTAGTTGGTGGAAAGTTCGTCTAAACGCGTTTGGATTTTGAAGTAAATCTGAACATTATTCATCAGTCATTAAGTCAAGCAAAGTTAGTTGTTTTAACAACTAGAGGATTAGACACCGGTATAGTAGCCTCGCTTCTTTTTACTCTATGATCTGCATGATCAACTCTCGCTTCTCAACTCTCATCAATTCTCATGCTCGTTTGACCCGGGCTTTATTAAATGTAGTCAACGAAGAATTGTATAGTAAATTGAGGGACACTGAAGTTCGAAAAAATTGAGCCAAAAGAGCTGGGGACGTCAATGCGATAATTATAATGTGTTGTAACATGAGACCACATGACGAAAGTCGTAAAAGGATTTTGGAATGTTTGTGATTAAATACGGAAGAGATTAATGTGTGAAATATGGATACATTGAGTACGACATATTTAACAAAGCCATGCAAGAGAAAGCACAGTCTGTCGTGCCATGTTTATTTTTAATGACGCAGTACCGTGGATTTATGCACAAAGTGCAATTTGCAGAACATGCCAAACATAAGTTCTTCTCACCCACTCACCGCGAGTTTGATATCAATATTGTTTGCTTTACTTTGAGAATTGAGATTGAAGAAATCTTCAAGACAGATTTCAAACGATTTCACATAAAATTGACGTATGCAGTAGAATCAATATGATCGATAGCCGAAACATCGATAGGAACTCGTTAGCTCGAGTACAACGCTTAGCAACCGTCTTGTTTTTATTATTAGAGAGCTTTAGCAGTGACTACGAGTACGACTACGAGTACGAGATTCGTCATTCTCGTGCGTTGTTTGCTTACGCCATCAGTCAAAACTCGTAGTCGTTGGGCTTTCGAGTACGAGTTTTTTGATAAACTTCGTACTCGAAAGCCCAACGACTACGAGTTTTGACTGATAGCGTAAGCAAACAACGCACGAGAATGACGAATCTCGTACTCGTAGTCGTACTCGTAGTCACTGCTAAAGCTCGCTATTTTAGTCTTCGAGACAGTGCATGCATATCATTATTTATTGGTCGAAATATTTCAAAGAATCGCTGGCATACAAAGTGAAAGGAGAAAATTTAGCAAAACTATTTTGATTCTAAATTGCTTTTCATTCATACGGAGGGGGAACCGACATGAAAATTTAATTGCATCAATCGTTTGTCATGTTTAATACAAGAGACGCTTATTGTTTATCATATTGTCTTACTCGTACCAATCCGGCCGACCGCAACTTATGGTTTGAAATCTTGCACTTTAATAAGAATGTACGCGACCAAGATACCTTGGGCAAAATTTATCCTTCCTTTCCAAGTAAGAAAGTTTTTACTACCGAATACAGTGCAGACAATTGCACAAAACATTCGTTAATATTCTAAAACTAAACAATGAGCTAGTGTTTGAGCAACAGTTTATAACCAAGCACATTCCATTGGGCACCAACCGCAAGCGTGTCATATTACATGGTTTCGTTGGAGCGAAGTAAATATTTGCATTCTGATAGAAGTTATCGTTGTAATAGACCACTTGCGTAATGGACCAACTTTTGATTTAGGCGACAAGAAGGGAATATCCAAAAAGGGCGTACAAAACTTGCTAAGTTTAGCTGCGAAATATTATAAACAGTGCCTTAACTAGAACGATAATTGGGGGGTGTTTATTCATATATTCAGTTCTGCCCGACGGGTTTCTTTTGTAAGTGCAATAGCTTACAATAGAAATCCGTTGGGCAAGACTGAATATATGAATAAACACCCCCCCAATTATCGTTCTAGTTACGGCCCTGAATTTATAAAGTACCGAAGATAAGCTAAACGAAGTTAGCAAACATTCAACGTGTACTTTTCTATTATGGTCAGAAGAGTGTATTTAACACTTCCGCCACTTTTGTACTGCAAGCATAGTATTTAAAAATTGCCTACTTCGCTATATTTTCCGTACTACATGACATTTTGCAGCCAAACTTGGCAATTACACTAATCGCAGTATGTTCTTTTCAGCTGTACCCGCCTGTGGTGATTAATTTCCTTCTTGTTAATACCTAGATCATAAGTTGGGCTATTATATAATTTAGACGGCAATGCACGGCATCATGCATTGTATACGTGCAGATATAATAGTATTCACAGAAACGCAGGCTCTTTGTAAAGGTAGAAATACAATATATTGCTTATCATACCTGTCGCGGTAGTTCGTTATCCCTACAATCTGATATAGGATTGCTCCGAGCAACCTTTTATTCGTGCAAACGGTGCAGCTCGATTTCAGTGATTTTTATTTATCATGATGGTTTTTTTATTACACGTACCATAGTACTGCGGTTTCATCCTATGCGAAAGCGTAATGCTTCATATTCGCATTTTTATACGGTCTCAACTTTAAAAAGGATTACCATCAGCATAACCAGATACAATAAGGTATTACTTAATATCCTACTTGCCTTTTACACATCCTCGAGGATTGCAATCCGGTATATATATGGAAGAATTTTTATATTAAGATGGTTTTTATATTAAGATTTTTATATTAAAAGGAAATAAAGGGATTCATCAGACAGAATTCTTAGAAAAACAAGCAGACGTTTGTGGCTTCAGTCGAAAGCATCGTTAGAATGTTGAAAACGAACGACAAGAACCCATTAGAGAACTGGCTAGTGTTACATCATTCACATTGGATATGTCAGATAATGACAGGTGTACAGTGTGAGAGCTCAGGAGAAAAGAGCTCGTGCAGAGTGAAGTGTACGTTGAGGAAGAAAGCCAAATATGCTCAGTTTCCGACTTATTGATCTCGCAATATGCCAAGCATTGAACGATCAAAATTCTAAGAAGCTTGATTTTTTCAATTAATTTGCTCACAAGTTTTTTTTTGGCATTAATTTAGCTAGCTATATTCTTATATTTGTTGTGTAGCAATTATATTAATTATTAAATATCGGATGGCATGTGCTCACTTGCCATACCCACGGTCTCATGGAGAACAATTCCGCATGTTAGATTGACCTTGTCTACTGATGTCGAGGATGAAAGATTTCAAAATGAAATATTGGACTAGAAAGCAAAGCAGCTGAATGATAAATCTCAAGACAAATGCTGATTAGGACAGCAACAAAAAAAAAAAAAAGAGGAATTAGAACCAACGCGCATCCTTGGAATGATAGAGCAAACAATGAATGACAAAACTTTCAAGAATTGGAAAACAAGATTTCACGAGAAAACTAGATTGGGCGATTCGTGCTTGAGCTCGACAAGTGAAAATTATGCAATTGAATACAGATGCTTTAGCATCATTAGGTTATATATGGAGTCTTGTTGTGGTGGCGTAAAACTATTAAACAAAAGACCATAATGGCTGCCGCTGGAAGAGCTCATAAGAATGTTGAAAACGAACGAGAGGAACGGATTGGAGAACTTGCGTTACACATTCACGGTCGGTTATACGTCACATGGACGTCAGAATTAGCGGACTCAAAAATAGCTCAAATGGAAATATTGAAAGAGAAAGCAAAATAAGTCAAAATAAGCTGCGCATTAACCGACCAAATCCTAAAGGGAAAGAGAACCGACGTACATGTTCGGAACGTGGGAACGAATAATGAATATCGAAAATCACAAGATTTGGAAAACTAGGATTTACTATAGAAAACAAGTTTGAGCAATAATGGACCCTTATTTCGCGCGAGCTGTTTTTGCGACGACAAATCTCGCCTGCTGTGAGTTTTAATTACATCCAGATCAAAACAAATTACCTTTAAAGCAGGTGAATTTGAGTTAAAATGAAGTGAATAGCCAGAATTTTTTGGAATATCTAACCTAGAAATTGTGCATGTAGCGTATATATAATTCTTTGCTGGGCACTCGGGTAGAACTAATGTCTTTGAAACAAAGGAATACGCTACGCGGTTGGCTACGATACGGTCCTGCCTCTTGAATTTATATAGATATAACGTTGTCTGAAAATATATACATATATACAAATAGTTGTCGGACATGTTACAGTCAGTGGTCACTTGTTACAACTATTTGTATATATGTATATATTATTTTCAGACAACCTTTTCGATCCACTATATATATAAATGTTTAATCTTAAAATATTTTCATCGCTACACGGTGTTTCACGCTCAATGCGATGATCCATTAACATACCTGACACTTGATGAGACATTTAAGATGCTGCTTATAACTATACTCACGCAATTCATCTTGAAATAGTTAGATGAAACAGGAAAACATTCCCCCCACCTTTTCTTACATAAAGGCAAAAAATATTAGAATGGAAATCGCGTCCACAAGTTTGCAGTTTTGAAAACGTATACTTGGTGTCACACTTTGATTCCATATACACAACTCTTACCCAAACCCTTCAAATGTGTTTTAGCATGCAGTTGCGGGCGGTTGCAGATCGTCCTTAGATCTTCCTTCCGTCTTCGTAAAATTTGTTGTAAGATCGATATAAAGCGTTAAACGTGTCAATCTGTTTGAGTCGCGATTGCGGCTGGCGAGAAGACAGTTTCTATGGAGATTCTATTAACTGACGCTACTATGTGTGCAGTAAATATCATGTCCAATAGTTTTTCCCCTATTTCAATAATAATCACAGCTAGTGGCGGATTCAAACTAATTTTAAATTCAAAAAAACCTGGTTATTAATTATGAACTTCCTTGAAATTAGTATTCATGAGGAATTATTTTAAAATATGACGGATCGCCTTTATTCGATTTGAGAAACTACATAAGCGCTGTAAGAACTCTAGCGTAGCGGATCTCCTTTACCGGTCACAATTGAAAAGAATCGAAAAATTCGTTGAATCGAAAATTTTCGCCTTGTGCAAAACTACGTTAAGTCGAACATGAGGGGTAGTTAACTAAACCATTGCCTTAAGAAGCACCTTTTGAACAGATTTTAATGAAAATCCCGTTTAAGTGGGCCAGCATTGTGGGCTTTATTTGAAAACTATTAATATTATATGAAATATGTTAATTAAACAATTGATGGCTCATACATAGTAGGAAGGCTGATTTGTCGGATGGAAGACAGTGGCTGTGTTTATCGTAAATGGGTCGGGATTCATTAGATCATGATATATTGAATCATCAAAGCAACCATTTTGATTATTGGAACAACAATATATTGTAATTATTCAAATCATATTATATGCATGATTACATTTTTTACGGTGACAATTAAATCAATTTTTCATCGATTTCAGGTCTGATTTAATTAGGACTAATTTAAATTATAGTCATGGACTAAAATTGAATTTAATTCATTGGTTTTCTAAAGTCCCAATTTTATGCTAAGATATTACCAACTTGTTAAATGATAATAACTACTTTTGATAATACTATTTTATACTTTTGTATTCAATAAAAGTAATGTCGTAATAAAGTATAAAACAAGAGGAAAATTTCGTATGTGAAACAAATGGAGGATAATGTAGAGCTCAGCAGTAGTGTTAGGAAGCTAAAGATCGTGGACTATTGCAGCTGCTGATGTAATGAAAGTGTTCCTGATATATTGTCATTCTTCTTTGTTGCATATGTATCGTGTTGTTTTACTTTTTATTTAATTGATCAACTTCTCACTTTGAATAAGTTTAATTCAAATGTACGGCGAGGTGTCAAATCGTAACTTAATGAGCAAATAAACTAAAAAGTTTATCAGGAACACTTCTATTTCCACCACTTTCGTATCATTTGATAAGCCTAAGCTTAACTCAGTATATGTTTATTTAAATCATCACCAACATTCTTATAACCATCGTGTGGACTGTCCACATCCTTTTTGTTAGTTTCATTCGCTTCAGGGTGTGAAGTTCATGAGACAATATGCCACCATTTCCACTTGAAATACAGTTCGAACATAATTACGATAATCAAGTTGAAGAAATACACGTTATAAACTCATGCCTTTTGAGTCCATTTATAGCACTGCCTTTGCTTTGATATAAGAAGTCATTTTCAATCCTTTGAAAGAAACATGTTATAATTTTAGGTGCAAGAGATCAATATTAACTTTTACTTCAGTCACTGTAAACTACACGGTAATATTGATAATTATACTGTTTGGCTTTCATCTTCTGTATTTTACACAATCGCGCGTCTCGTTTCCTTTTTTTTACATTCGTTTAGTTCATTTTTTAACTCATGTAATTTCGTCGTTTTTAGTTTCCGTGTTTCCGTGTCCAGATAATTTTGTATTCCGTTGAATCCGCACAGAAACTTGACAACTTTTCATTCTTTTGCAACTCATGATTATGTTACTCGTGGTGAAGTTGGTTAAAGGTCAATGTCTTTTCACTTAAAATAACTAAGTATTGTGCTTTGTCACAATTTATAGCGAGTAATACTTCTCATGCATATTACATTCATGTTTAGAATTGCATCCTAGGACCTTCCCGAGGTATGAAAAAAAGGGTGATCGACATTGCTGCATGAAAACAACAAAAAGTTTGTTTACTCGAGAGAAATGAGAAACGGGCAAATCAGCAAACTTTCCATTCCTTTGCAACTCATGATTATATTACTCGTGATTTCCTTTTGAAGTTTCTTTGACTGATTTTTTTAAAGTTTAAAATATCTTCAAAGCATACGGAATGTTCTCCCGTGACTAGTTAGAACATCACTGCTTGCTAATTTGGGACGTGGTATTCTGTACAATGCACGAAGACTCGAATCATAATAAATATCATACTTGTTCTTTCTTACTCTGCATGGTGATATGCCAATAAAACCCAGATGTTGTTTTCCACCAGGTTATAGAATGTTGGTTAAAGATCAATGTTTTTTCATTTAAAATAACTAAGTATTGTGCTTTGTCACAATTTATAACGAGTAATACTTCTCATGCATATTACATCTATATTTTGCACCCCAGGACCTTCCCGAGGTATGCAGAAATAGGGTGGTCGACATTGCTGCATGAGAACAACAAAAAGTTTGTTTACTCGAAAGGAAGATTAACTTTTGGAATTTTCAAAGCGAGTAATCAAATTATTCTTAATAATTAAAGAGTTAGTGTTGTTCACGAGCTTTTTTTCATTATCCTCCATTGAAAGTGAAACAATGCAATTATGTAATACCTTATTCATTTTAAGCGTTTCAATTGCTTGTTTGTGATTGCGTGACATTACATAAAAATTTTCCAGTTTACTGAGCGTGCAATGAATGTTTCTATTGCCTTCTCAAGCCGTGTTTTTCTCAATGCACGGTTGCTTTTTCACAAAATTCAATCACAGTATTGAATCGTACTTGCACGCATTTGATCACGAATCTC